TATATATATATATTGAAATTTAATATATCATTTGTTTTCAGTTGACGAATTCAGCAATTTAATAGTCTTAGCCGTATAGATTTTTCAAATTCTTATTACATTTCACTTCAAACATTCTATCTATCCGATTCTTAACTTCTGTTTATTATAATTATTTGATAATATTTTAAAATATCAAAATTTTAGATTTAATTATAAATATTTAATCATTTTTCAATAATATATATGATTATTTGTTTCTTTACTTATTACTATTCAGTAGTTTTAACAACTAATTTTTTTCGACCAGAATTTTACAAATCATATTTTTTATGCTTAATTATTAAAGAAATGAGTTATATCATTTTAATATATAATTATAAATTCATTCAGGTAACAAGGATTTGTAAATTTTTTCTACTTTCTCAGTTTATTTTTTTAGATCTTCCTCGATTTTATCAGCCTAAAAAATATTGATATCTAATTACTTTTTTATTCAGTAAATCTAATTGTTCTAGCTTTTTTTTATCTTCCTAATTTTCATCTGTGATGCATTTAGCTTTCTTTATCGGTAACCAACCTAAATCAAGATTTTCCATTTTATTGCTTACAAACGTTTCATTTCCATCATATTCTGTAGGATCCTTGAATTATAGGTAAGCAAAATAAAACACATAATTCCACATATGATGCTCGTATTTTATATGAAATGCAAAGCCCTTATCACTATCACTTGATTTATCTAATGTTTCCATATCAAAGCCACATACAAAACACTTAAATTCCATATCTTTGTTTTTTTCAGCTAAATCTTCCCTTAAAGACGAAAAGGTATCAATAATAATACCCTAAATCATGTTTAATAAAATAAACACCAACATGATATTAAATAGATTATCAAAAAAGAATCGCTCATAATATATAGCAGTTTAATCTGCGTTGACGTAATCATATGAAGCATCTTCATCTCCTTATTAAACTGCTTGTTTTTATAGTTCTTCCAAAGTAGCAGGATCTTGTAAATGAGCACCGATTGATCCCGTAAATTTGAAAGTCCAATCAAATGTTGTAATAAGACATCTCCAAAATTCATTACAATACTCTTATCCGGATTCTCCTGATGCAGGATACTGATTATAAAATACTATCCAAGCCAAGATGTTAAAATAGTACTCAATAATTATTAATAACATGAGAGCCAAGCCCAATTCTACTTTCGGTTTCCAAATAGCTTAAACAACAGTTTTCAATTAATCTAACTTTAGAAAATCCATCAAGTGAACACAGAAAAAGAATGGATGAGCTGCTAATCCTACTATTCCAGCTAGAATATAAGCAGAATAATAAAGAATTTCAAAATCCTATAACAACACAAAAATAGAAACTAATGAATTTTTGATTAATCTAATTATGATCTTAAAAAATCCTTAAGTGCTGAAAAATCCTACCCAAATATGATAAACTTTTAAGGGGGCTCTTTTAAGGGCAAAGAAGAATACAATTAACGAAGAAAACACCAAATCTAATATCCCCAAGATTAAAATAATTTGTTTGGTTATGCTTAATTAATCATACCACAATAATCTTGGTTCATACAATCTATAATATTAAATTCTACTATCGTTGTCCAAATATTGATCAGGAACTAAAAATTAGGAATAACTAAACAATATAATTAAATTGATTGCTATTGTTGTCAAAAATAGGCAAAGTTCCCATAATTTTCCTTGAGAAGCTATAGCTCCAAAAATTGGATTGATGTTAAACAATATTCTCAAATATTCTTCATGTTTCATAGTTTTAATTATACTATCAGACTTAGTCATTAAATAATTCAACTTAGTCTTAGCACTTGATCTATTAACTTCATCATGAAATTCAGTCTTTAAATCTTTTGGTAATTAATGACAGTAGGGTAATTTTGGAAAGAAAACTTAGTAAACTTTTTCATCTCTAACTATTTCAATGGAACAAGAGTTTTTCTTAAAGAACCTAATAGAGTTTTTTAATAATTCCTTATTTTTCTTTTTTTCTTCTAATTCCTATGCTTCCTTCTCTTTTCTTCTATCTTCATCTGTTTTACCAACTTCTTCTATTCCCTATTTGAATTTTTATAGTCCCCCCAATCCTACTTAGAGCATCTAACCTCCTAATTTAGAGATTCCACTAAATAAGCCTGTGGATTATTCGTCCGCTCTGTCAACATCAAATTCATTTAATATTTCTCTCATTTCAATATCTTCTTACAAGATATCTTTCCCCTTTTTACTTGCTACAAAGATTTACATTAGGACATAAATATAAAACCCGATTTCTACTACTAATTCGTACTTTTCTTCTTCCTCTGTCAATACGATTAGTTATTCTGCCCTTCCAAACAATTCTTCTTTATATTCATCTTTAAAATATTATTAAAATAATGAATATACTCTTGACATGTTGTTAGTTAATACTCTGATAGGGATAGCTCTAATTATTCTTAAGATTAAATTATCTTATAGATCGCAACATTCTACTAAAGAAACCAATGAAATCAAGGCTTTTAATTTAAGCCTTGCTAATTTTGCTAGATGCAAAGTAAGATTATAAGGTTTCGTAGGATCCATAATTTTGTTTCTTTTAATTCCTTGTTATTCTTTTGTTTATCCCATTTGATTAAAGCTTTTAAATTCTTTTTTTTGCGTTTACACTTATTTAAAAATAACTCCAAGCAATTTGGCTTCTTATTTTTTTTAGATTTCTTAGGTCTCAAATAACTTTTCATTTTCTGATAGGACATCCACAACATACTCCATAAATTTAGAGTTTGATAAAGCTATTTAGTTTGTTTTGCAAGGTCCTTAAATCACCTCTGTTATTGTATCAAAGCATTATGTCACAATACCATAATTTTTATTATCAATTTTGATACATTGTTAAAGTTTTACAATTTATAAAACTAAATCATATGATGTCTTTGAATTTGTTTATTGGTGTAAGTATTCTTATAATTATAAGTTGTGTCCTTCACACAATAATTACATAAATTATAAAGTTTTGCATATTAACTTTGTTTGAAGTTTTCCTTATTATTTCAATTCAGCTGGATTCGAATTAATATAATTAGTAATTATCAAATTTAATTTAAAATAAAGCTTTTCGCATTCCTGATTTGATTTAGAATATTCCAATATTGTCGTTTACACTACTAAATTACCTTTCTTTAGTAGCATGCAAAATAGTGATAGAAGAGTTGTTAAATATTGCAGATCATTTTCATCTTCACTCCATAACAACTACATTAAAATTTTAGTTGCATTCAATTTATTCAAAATTTCCTATCTTTCCCTTAATTCATCCAAATCATCAGATCTAAACGGATTCTTTAAAATCTATTTTAATGCTTTAAAGATAAAAAGCACACTTTTCTTATCAGCTGCATTAACTTACCAGTATTGTATATAGTTTAATAAGTTCTTGACAACATCTTCTTGATTTAGAACAAGATCTTTTTAATCAGATTTTATATCTGATTAAAACATCTAACTTATATTCCAAACACTATTAGCAAATATTTATTTCTCTTCTTTTATGGCTTCATGCACTTGTTCATTATCTGATAGTAACGAAACAAATAATTGCCAATAATAATTGATTTATTTTGATTC